TATTCTAACAAAATAATAAGTATACAGGGTGATTCACAACATATCCAAAAAAATTTGGGAATAGATGCGGCATGAGAAATGGAGTCAATATTGTAAAAAAATATTTTGTAAAGTCCTTATAGTTTCCGAGAAAAAAAATATTGAAGTTATAGTGCTTTCAACCATTACATAGCTGGACAACTGTAGTCTCTAGCGTCATTCGTAATACGCATGGAGAGCCACATGGCCTCAGTGACTCAGAATACTGAAATCCGAGGTTTACAATAGTTTTTAGCAGTTAGTGTCAAAAATGGCTTGCGTATATAACTACTCGGAGTTGATGGATATCGTTTTAGTTTAAGGTGAAGCAAGAAAACATTTGTATTATAGTGAAGCATTTGTGTGATGGTGAAACAAGATAGCATTTGTGTTAGTTCGTAGAAACTGAGTAAGACGGACCCAAATGAAATGTTTTTATCACTGCTGCTATGACGGTCGCATTGTGCCAGGTCAGGTTTTACAGTGGATCATTTCCAGTGCCGTGCAGAAGTGTATTTTTAAATTATTTTCGAACTGCCCTTTTTGATTTCTTCTTTACAAAATTGTATTTGTAAGAGTCCCCTGTACATCCAGATTTTTTTTTTTGGATAATTTCTGAATCACCCTGTATTATATATCACACATATATAATATACATATCACATATCACATGATATTCTATTCGTGTCTTTTTATTAGTGATCTTCATTTTTTATGTAACTGCGCATTGAATTACAATTTTTGTTAAACCGTATAAAGAGGAATAATAGACACAAGAAGTATAAACCTAAATTATTCTGACCTAGCGTCCAACCTCGGTTGTATAATGGAGGCTTTTTGACGTAGCAAGCACATTATATTATGTAATAATGTCTAACACGGGAAATTTTAATTGAAATATAGTTTTATTTGTTTTTTATCAAACATACCACATGGGAATATCTACTTTACCACGTTTATTTTATGAGGTCTTTGAACTACGTGTCAATAATTACAAATTAAATAAACCTGCAGGAGTGCCTTCAGTGTTGCTTGAAAGCTTGATCAAAGAAATACTTATTTTTATTCACGACTTTAATGGTGAATTCCACATCGCAAGTTACTAAAAAAGATCTTTATTGGACACATATAAATAAAAGTATTTTAGAAATGGTATAAAAGTACTTATATTTTCTTCTCATACTGTGCCTTGTTGTTTAATTTTGTATGCTTATCTACTACAATTTCTTTGATCAGAAAATATAATTATACCGGTAGTCGTAAGTATAATAATAGATATCAGGAAAAAAATATGGTCAAAATCATTTATTTTACGAGGAACGGGTTGTTTATATCCCGTGTGTCTTCGGATTGGCTTAACTACTCTTGTACATATACATTAATTTACACGAACTCAATGTGTAAATTAATGTATGTGAAGCATTAACGGACACATGGGTTTAAAGCTTACCTAATTAGTCTTATTAATACTAGAATTTTGTCTTGTCAAAACAATTAACTCAAGAGTTACGGGCTCAGAGTTAAGTTTTCTTTCTTTAATCTTATTTGTGACTCAAATTTTAATACCCACAGATGCTTACTTTGATTGAGTTTAGAACTTAAGAGTATTTAGCATACCTGATCGGGTCAAATAGACCCTGAATTCGGGTTCAGCGACCCCAACTATAGTGTTATGATATTAAAAGCCGATAACGATACCCAAAACAATGAAATTTTGAAAATTATCACATACTAAAATAGAGAACTCTGACAACAGGGATGTGTTGTACTATATATGAGAAAATGAAGGATACAATTTAACGTATAGAATAAGTTTTAGTACATAAAAGGTAAAATCGTTACATGATAACATCAATCTGTCAAAATAAATTAAATAATGCAAAATTTTAAATTAAATAGTTTAATGAAACCAATAATACATACTAGAAAGTTAAAATGTATAACCTAGTACAACTTTGTAAAGATATTCACCATATAGGCGCATTGTCTTGGGGAAATTTAAAAAATTAAGATTTTGACAAGTAGATTTATCGTAGAACAAGAAAGAGTTGCAATTATAAATTAAATCCATGGAATAAACTAAGACTATAATTAAAGTTCATCATACCTTTAGTCTATATTTATGAGTGGAATTAAGATTAAAGTTCTTTAGATAACTTCATATAGCGATTTTCGAAATGTCAAACCAATAACTCAACATTTTTATTGTGTAAACGATATTTATCCTGTGTTATGTTAAAAAGACCTTCTATTCATATAATAATCCTAATTATCCCAATTTACATTCCAATTAGTGTAAAAACATTACTAGTTTGTCAAAGAACGATCACCCTGATACATTTTAGTTATTAGTAAATTCATACAAGACAAAACTGTTCAAAATAGTGAAATTAACTTAATATCAATGTTGTGGAACAAGACTAGTTGCATAAAATTAAGCTAAATAACATAATTTGCTTAAATTTCTATAAATTAGCAAAATTTTGTATAAACTTTAAAAATCAATCAAGAGTTGGGTATGTAAATTTGCAAAAAATTGTGTAGAATCCGAATATATCAGTGTCATGCTGCAAAAGACATACATAAAGGCATAATTACAGTTTAAAATTTTCATAAAGCTTCAAACTAATGTTGGTATAACAACAATCTCATCTGTTATAAATTTATAAAAACTGTTACAGGGCTTCTAGTAGCCAGTATTTCATAATTTGTCGAACCATAAATATTCAATCCTTTTTCAAAATACCAAAGTCGANTGTGGTTTGATGCACACTTAAGTTAGTCACTCATTTAGACACATTTCTGAATATCAGAATTGAGAATGAGATGAGGGCACCCTAAGTTGAGTGGAGAATAAGTTTGATATGAGTGAAAGGTTAGTATAGATTTAGGGAAGTCTCTGAATTTGGCCCTTAGTCTATATTTATGAGTGGAATTAAGATTAAAGTTCTTTAGATAACTTGATATATAGCGATTTTCGAAATGTCAAACCCATAACTCAACATTGTGTAAATTTTATTGTGTAAACGATATTTATCCTGTGTTATGTTAAAAAGACCTTGTATTCATATAATAATCCTAATAATCCCAATTTACATTCCAATTAGTGTAAAAACATTACTAGTTTGTCAAAGAACGATTACCCTGATACATTTTAGTCATTAGTAAATTCATACAAGAGAAAACTGTTCAAAATAGTGAAATTAACTTAATATCAATGTTGTGGAACAAGACTAGTGGCATAAAATTAAGCTAAATAACATAATTTGCTTAAATTTCAATAAATTAGCAAAATTTTGTAGAAACTTTAAAAATCAACGTAATATAAAGAGTTGGGTATGTAGATTTGCAAAAAAATGTGTAGAATCCGAATATATCAGTGTAATGCTGCAAAAGACATACATAAAGGCATAATTCCAGTTTAAAATTTTCATAAAGCTTCAAACTAATGTTGGTATAACAAGAATCTCATCCGTTATCAATTTATAAAAACTGTTACAGGGCTTCTAGTAGCCAGTATTTCATAATTTGTCGAACCATAAATATTCAATCCTTTTTCAAAATACCAAAGTCGACTAAATATTAAAATTTCACCTCCTAAATTAGTATAGGATAAAATAGATTTAGGATAATAAGTAAGAATATAACTTGTCAATTGCCTGCAAAATTAAATGTGCAATATAATTTGTTCATTTTATGTTAAACAGTATTTTTCATTTCGTATATATAAAAAAAAATTAGTGAAACACACCCTGAGAAAGAGCAAGCTCTAACTGAAATAATTTATAAGACTAGATCTTATTGGCGCCTGGGCAAAATAAAAATAAAAGTAAAATAATTCACTTTCAATCTCATTCATACACATCAAAAACATAACAATAGATATATTGGTTTACTTTGTTGGCAATTGATTTTCTACATTTGACCTTGAACTGACCTTAACCCAGACCTGATCGGGCCAAACGGACACTAGATTCGGATTCAGCAACGTCAAAAACGTATGAATATTAGGTATATTTTGCTGGCAATTGATTCTCTACATCTGACCTTGAAATGATGTTAACTCAGATCTTATAGGGTCAAACGGACACCGAATTTGGATACAGCGACCCCAAAAACATATAGATATGTAGGTTTACTTTGTTGGCAATTTGACCTAAGCGGGTCAAACGGACATAGGGTTCTGTTTCAGCGACTCCAAAAACGTATAGATATATTGGTTTACTTTGTTGGCAATTGATTATCTACATTTGACCTTGAACTGAACTCAAACCAGAGTCAAACGGATACCGGGTTTGAATTCGGCCACCCCGAAAACGTATAGATACGTAGGTTTAGTTTGTTGGCAATTGATTTTCTATATTTGACTTTGAACTGATCATAAACCAGAGCTAATCATGTTAAACGGACACTAGATTCGTATTCAGCGACCCCAAAACCATATAGATACCATGGTCTTGTCTTTCGGACCTTCCACTTTTTTGTGGGGCTGTGTTATGTGGTGTTATCTGATTAATATGTTAATATTTTTTAAGTCTGTTTTGGACCAACGGAGCATTAAAGATTGGAATGGCGAATATGTTAATGGTTTTAAACTGATTTTTTACACGTTTATAGTTTATAATTTGTGACGTAGAAAACATCATTTGATCAAGCATTTTAGTTGTAATTATCACATCTTATGTAGACACATCCTGTAGGATCCCATAAACCTTCATTGACCTGTCATTATAATGAAAGTGATTCACGTCACATCATTTAATAATAACGGATGAGTTACAAACCAAGAATTTGACAAGGAGATTGAAAAATTACCCTGCTGATAAACAAGCGATGTTATCTGGCCAAGACAGGTCATATCCCTGGTGCGAAGGCAAGGCCATAGTTACCTAAGCAAATCGTGTTAAAAACCAGCAGTTGCACTGAACCAGGATAAGGTTAATATATTAATTATGCTCATTTACAAAACATATAAAGAACCTGCCGGCACCCGTATGTGCACTCTGTGCATTGATACCAGACAGTGAACGTGGAATATCTGAAGAATATGAAGGTCCTTGCTGCTTTAATAGCTGTTTGCGTGGTAGCTTCACTGGTGCAGGTATTTATTGTCTATTTTCTAAGAAAATACAGATTCACTTCTGTAATGTTTCTTAACTTCATCTTTTATTAATTCAGATTCAGTATTTACAATCAACTTTCAAGTGTATATGAACGCATAATAACATAGTGCAAAATAATGCAGAGCTTGATTTTAATTTATAATTAAATACATTTTTTAAAAGAACTGACAAACAGAAAGCCTAAAACTACTCGTTAACAAATGATACGTCAACGCCTTAATATAGCATTTTTTATCAGAGGTCATTCTCGTGGCTATCTATTATTACTTTAGTCATAAAATCAAGTTTAGCAGGTTCTACTCTTACTTACGTTTTTTCAACAAATTATATCGTAATTATTTTACACATTAAGTGTCACATGGTACATATCGCTGCACTTTTAAATAATCGATTTAATGTTTGAAAGGTTTGAGATATTTATATACCTGAGAAGAAGTTTTATACAGGGCTAGTTATGTTACCTTATACTTTCAGCAAAGCCAAAAAAAAAAAGAATTAAAATAAAATAATGGTAACAATAAACTGATAGCAGTTCTTAAGAGCTTTACTATTCCTCATGGATGGGGCATAAATCGCAGTTTATGACCAAGTTTTCAAGAACTACAGACGAACTAGACTCCGAACTTAGTACTGTAGATATCTACATTACTAAGACTATAATTAACAACTTGCGTCAAAAATTTTTATTTATTTATTTAGTCTTCATAATTTCATAAGCTTGCAACTAATAAAGATCGATAAATTTTAATTTTTTTAGTCTTTTTTGTTTGATTATACGTTGAAAGAGTATTAAGTAAAAAATATATAAGAATTCACGAGTGATTTGGAAAAACAAAATGGAAGGAAAAAATCTCGAATTGTATACGTCAATAATAGCTTCTCTTTCGGGACTGAATATTGCTGAACATTATATCTGACTTGTAGTCACTATTACTATCTGTTTTGATCGTAGTTCTAAGATTGTCTAACCTGAACAGATCGCGAAAATTGCAAATATTCAGTGGTGGAGTAGTCATAATATGTAGTTTGACATATGGGTTCTAATCTTCATTTTTCATGCTTTGTTTGTTGTTTTAAGTAGTAAATTTAAAAAGCGAGAAAAGCATGTAGATCCTGGTGCTACAAGATATTATCATGAAGTACAAAGCAACATAATTTTCAAAGATTTATTTAGAATTGACAAAATTATGAAAAAATTATATTTACCATTAAGTAAAATATTTGTTGTTTCAACGTCTGCCTTTACTAAAACATCTCTGTCTGTAAAGTTTAAATTTAAAGTGACTACTTCTACAGCCATAACACAATCCATCATATAACCCTGAACGATTTGTGGCTCTCCATCCAAACAGATAACAAAAAATGTCAAGTGTACAAAACAAAAAGGTTAAGTTACCCACTAAGATATTCGCTAAATATACCAACACAATATTCAGCTGAAATGTGAAGTGTTCAGTCATTTGATGTAAATTTGTGACGTCATATGTAGTTTAAATATTCTCGCAAGAATGAAACATACTTAAAATTCACCAAAGAATACGAGGTTTCATTTTTAGTCACCATTTGTGAATCACCCTGTATATTTTACTAACATCTAGCGTACACTACCGCTTCCTTAAATATTTCCAGCGTTAATATTTTATAATTTCCCTTTAAATTCTGTACATTTTATATATAGTAGATCAGTATTACCTATAAAATATATTTTGTTAATTTTAGAGGCACAATATTAATAAATTAATCAATTTTCTAGTATTCTGTTCATATCTTACATATAAAATTTGTCAATTTTAAGTGTATTGTTTGCGGTAATAGAAATAGGTATTTAAAAAATAGTTGTATTTTTTAATAAAAAAAAACATGCTGGTTACAAAAAAATTACAAACAAATTTTAACTGTTTATAACATTTCTAGCTACTTATTTATAGGTTATAGTTCAAGTAAGATATTTTGCACCATATAATTACAAACCAAGTAATTACTGAACTTCATTTTCTTTGTTAGGGTAATAATATAGATGGTGTTTTGACCTTCAAAATCGCAGGATGGGCGCGAAATTATTCGACCAGTTATCCTTGCAGATAAACGATACTACATGTATTCTTTCATTAACTTTTCAACAATACGGAAAATTTTAGACTTATTAATGAAAAGTAAATGTTATATATAGAGAATTATATTAAATTATTTCTTATTGTAGATATTTAAAATTATTAGGTACCTACAAAGTTGCCTTTGATAACTACTCAAACTCAAAATAAACAATATAATAGTACAAGTTCCTATGACACATTTTAGCACATTCATTGTTAATGGAACTACATAATCTCAAAGTTATTTCTTATTAATTGATATTCTGTCATAACATTTTATTAACATACTTCTTATTGGTAATAATTTGCGCTTATGAAAAAAGGACCATAGAAATTCTCAAATTCTAAAACACTTAAGGGCCCTTTATTTACTCGAAAATTTATCATAACTTTTTATTTATGTTTTTTTTACAAGAATTCAATTCGATTAATTTTCAACATTTCTCACAAGTGACAATAATCAAATACGAGTAAACAGAGAACAAAATTATACAAATTTTGTGCGACACAAGAAACTAAATAATAATTGTATAAAATGGTGAGATGTTAAAATAGAAAATTCTAATTGCTCATTGCATCTGACAGCATTTCAGGAATCTGTAATTACATTAATATTCAGTTTCAAGTAATTATTAATGTCCAACTTTGACACATAATTTACATTTTAATCATACCGTTATTGGAAATCTGCCCGAATGAATTATCTTCTACAATTATAATTTCATGTGATTGACGAGTATTTACTGTTTACTTGTTTGTCGGGTTTGGCGTGTTTATACAAGGCCAATAATAATGTTTGGATGCTGGAGACACGTGACCAGTCACTGGAAGAGTTGAAAATATAATTTGCTGACAACTTTTTACTTTAATATGTGGAAAGTACGCATGTGGGATTTTTTTGGTTGAATTTAAGAATATCGACGATACCTCTGTGCAAATGAATGAGCGCATTATTATTATTAATTTTCAGTGTTATTCAGTTTTACTCAATATACAGAGAAACCCGTATGGAAATCCTTAAAAATAAAAGAATATACTAAATCATGTCAAAGATACTGTCTATTGCCCATAAATAATTTCAATTATGAGTATGAATGCAATTTCTTTTGTATTTGTTTAATCATTCTTATCTATAAATATATCATAAAGAAATGAAATTTTTGACAAATTGGACGGAGATAAATAAATTTATACCGATTTTATATTGCTTCCTTAATAAGTTATAAGCTTTTAAAAAATGTTTTATTTTATTTTTTAAGACAACTCAATTTTAAAGATTAAAAAAAAGAGGCGCTTTTGGGATAACCAATTGTGAATATCAGGTATTTTAACATTTAAAAAACATAGAAGTTGATAATTTTAAACAATCATTTGTTTTGCGCCATTTATTTTCTCTATAGAAATTTTGAGAAAGTGTTTGATTTTTGAAATGCTACGTTATTTGCTTTAAAAAATTTATATTGGTTGTTTGTAGCTAAAATGAACTGAGAAAAAATCGATCTTCCCTCTTTTCCACTCTAACCGTGGACATACTGTATAACAGAACTTAATGATTTTAAATTAAAAAATTTACTATGAATAACCTAAATTTTGATTTAAAATAGTGAATTAATTATCTAATTTCGGCACATCGAAATATGTTCTTATGTTATGCCTTATGTTCTTATGTTCTTATCACTCTCTATAAAAAAGTAAATATACAGTGTGTGTTTTAAAATTGGGGATTGTTAGCGATATTTTTCTAAACTGATATTCATTAGTTTCTCTGATCGCAGATTTTGTTCCCCAGTACTTTTTACATGCCGCCATTTTAATATAATCGAACTACAGAAAATATATTTTACCATTGCAGGCTGAACTGATCATAACTGAAGAACAGAAGTCCAAGCTCATAGGTCACCACAAAGTGTGCTCAGAACAAGTAAGTGTACAGGACGATGTCATAGAGAAACTCCTCGAAGGCGTCTTCAGCGAAGATCAATCCTTCAAAAACTACCTCTTCTGTCTGTCCAAAAGAATTGGCTTCCAGAACGAAGCTGGTGAGGTGCAAAAAGAAGTTATTATCACAAAACTGAGAGATTCCATAGAAGATCCTTCTAAGGCGGAGGAGTACACTGAAAAATGTCTTGTTAAAGAAGGAAAACCCGCTGATGTCGTGTACAAAGTAGTCACTTGTTTGCAAGAAAGTACCCCAAACGTTCTGTTTGCTTAATTATGTTAATTTTGTATCAAATACAATTGTTTTTAATTTTATATTAAATAAAATATACCCATTATTATTTTTTGTGCCTTTATGGAGGTGTTCCATAATAGGTCTAGTCCAAATCTACATATTTTTGACCTCACATATAAAAACTAAAAAAATTTAAAAATACTATTAAACTATTTTAAAACCACGATAAAAAGTTTTTCTCTGAAAAATTAATTTATGTTTGGTGTGCCCATAGACAACAAGTATGGACACATTTGTTGTGTCTTGGGTATAAAGGGACTGATCTTTTTGATTATTATTATTTAAATTTTCCTGGAATAGTACTTACCATACAAGAGTACGCATCCCGTAAGAAAATACTATATGTATTATATTTTAATAGATCGACAACTGTATCCGCAAATGGGCAACTGAAGAAAATAAATAAAATATCAATTTTTATTTAAATAAACACAGTGTATCTCAAGACACAACACCGATAAATAGCACAGAAAATTTTCATGAAATTATAATGTAGAATAAAATAAAGACAAATTACTTTTAAAGAAAAATAAAAAGCTCATTTCATAGTTATTTCATATAAAACCTAAAATATTATCAGTCAAAATTTTAAATAATACGTTTTAAATGATAAGCATGTCAAGAAAATAAATTTTAGGTACGAAGGAGAAGCATGAAGGTAAAAGAAAATGCCACAAGGAGGGCCAATTTAGAGATTTTATGAGTAAATTAATGTTAAATAATCTAGTACAAAAGAAAGTTCAAATATTATAACATCAGAAACACATAGGCTAGAAGTTTCTTATAAAAAAAATTTTGTCATGCAAAATATTATATAAAAATTTCTTGTAAATTAGTATTAAGACGTATAAAATCTACTACGCAGTTATAAAATGTAAATTACGCCGTAAGGTAATTAAAATCAAATTCATCGCAATATGCTAGAGAAATTGCGCAGTTAGAAAATGATAACATGGATACGAGCAACCAATGGCAATAGGCCAAATCAGTGAATTTACCTGGTACCGGAAAAACAAAAAACATCGTGGGAAGTCAACAAGCTGTAGAGAGGTGAAGAAAGAAGGAGATTCGAGAGACTGGTGAGGGGTGCATGTTGTCCTGTGGCTCCCCAAAACAACATCTAAAACACCAGGAAGCACTATACACAGACCCAACAGCCATCTTCAACGCACGAGAATAGCAGACAAACCACAACAATAAAGTGAGGTTAGAGAAACGTACGCAAATTGCCAGGCAGAACGAAATAAAGTAAGTCCAGTTGCATAACTGTTTTCTCCATGCCATAAAGTGTTGCAAATTTGAACTATAAAAACTATTTGTGAAACAGAAAACCCGTTTCGACTATAAACAATTTCAGTGATTAAAATTTAAATTGACATTTTTGAACATTCTATAATTTAAGTATTAATTTAGTTTCCAATGTTTGTAATATAAGTTAATTTGTTTTGAAAAACGTTTAAAAATAATGATAATCGGTTAACCAAACATTTTCTAAACTATAATAGGTAGAATAAGGCATTTCTCAGACAATTATTCATGTAAAAGTATATAAAGAAAATTTTAGTTTCTGTGTTCATCAAAAGGATTGTTTGAAATTGAAAGAAAAATAAGTAATAAATGTCATCTTGTGTAAATCTTTCAAATTTTGCTTTTATTCAATGCTTCCTACCAAAAATTAAATAGTAAAGGTTAATTAAAAGAGCATAGAACCGCCCCTATGAGGTAAGGACTCATGCTATTGATAAAATAAAGTGTTTTTTCTTGAGGGACAGTGTAGAAAATGAACATTCCTATCTACACTAATAAAATCCTATCTACACTGTGAACATTATTTATACAAAGTAAAGCTGCCGGAGGCGATGTTAGCAGTGATAAGGTAAGAAAGTCTAATTCGTCTATATTTGTCAGTGTTATTATAAAATTTTCTTATCAGAACCTATGCTCAATGGAAAATTAGATATAAACACACCCAAATGACATTTTACATTATAAAAGGCGCCCAAACGGATATTAAAAAATAATTATAAACACACAAAATTTACACACCATCACATAATACAACAACACACAACACCATTACTTACATTACATTACTAATAACAAAACAACTATAAATAATAAAATATAATAATATATGTATTCATTCTGAAAATACAAATTTTACTATTGATAGTCATTAAACAGACCAAAATAAATAGTCTAAGTACAAAATATGCATGCTTCCCCTTATAAGAAGAACATAAACTAAATAAAAGGCTACTGATAAATGTATTTTTTATACAGGGTGATTCTTACTAATACGGATAAACTTGAGCAACGATTCTACTATGAAAACAAAAAAGAATCGTTCATATGAATGGGGTTAACCTAACTAAAACCGATTCTTAACCTATATGCATAAACTTAGCTTCTTGCGGCGTGTTAAAAAATATGGAAAACAGTCCTGGCCGCCCTTTTGTAGCAATGCTCATGATTAAAATTGCTAATAATTTTTTACTTAAAAAAAAAATATTACCAGAATTACCAACATTCATGTCTGCATCTAAAAATATGTTGAAGATATCAAACATAAACCTATTGTCAGCGGCCATCTTTGAACGACCATAGCTTCTTTGTGGCTAATTTTTAAACCTATGTTTATAAATTATTTCATGTGTAGAATCAATGCTCAAAATATCTATAGGATAATCATCATCATATTATATGGGTCAAAAGTCAAATGTTACAAATAGATTCAAAACTGAAATCTGAAAAAACTTTGAAAAATCTCGACTTTTTCAAATAGAACACCCTGTGTTTTATGATTTCATTACATACCTTTCTGTAGACCCTACAATTTTTTAATAGCTTTCCCTATACCTAAATTGAGTAGTTTTGGCAAAAAAAAAAACAATTTTTATGTAAAATAACCGGATTTGCGCCCGTTCCTTTGTCGGGAAAAATATTGTAAGGGTATTTATTTTAAGTTAGCTTGCGACTATGAGAATTCTTTTTTCAAAATTCTATTCTTCCAAATTTTTTAATCTCCAATTTCACTAATAACTTTCCTAACTACGGTAACAGTGCTTGATTTTCAATATGATACGGATGAAATTTCTTCTTCAATATTTTATTTGNAGAAGAACATAAACTAAATAAAAGGCTACTGATAAATGTATTTTTTATACAGGGTGATTCTTACTAATACGGATAAACTTGAGCAACGATTCTACTATGAAAACAAAAAAGAATCGTTCATATGAATGGGGTTAACCTAACTAAAAACGATTCTTAACCCATATGCATAAACTTAGCTTCTTGCGGCGTGTTAAAAAATATGGAAAACAGTCCTGGCCGCCTTTTTGTAGCAATGCTCATGATTAAAATTGCTAATAATTTTTTACTTAAAAAAAAAATATTACCAGAATTACCAACATTCATGTCTGCATCTAAAAATATGTTGAAGATATCAAACATAAACCTGTTGTCAGCGGCCATCTTTGAACGACCATAGCTTCTTTGTGGCTAATTTTTAAACCTATGTTTATAAATTATTTCATGTGTAGAATCAATGCTCAAAATATCTATAGGATAATAATCATCATATTATATGGGTCAAAAGTCAAATGTTACAAATAGATTCAAAACTGAAAATCAAATTAAGTAGTTCAAATAATATTATGTCGAAAAATGCGTTATATCGGAAACCGTTAATCAATTTTTTTCTACTTTGACATGGAGTTCTAATTTTTTTCAACTTCAACACCACGTAGCTATCTCATTAAAAAAAAAGAAATCGTGGTGCCTTCTTTGATTTTCATAGAAGATTCTATAGGTGATATTTGAGCCATTCGTAATGGAACAATCTGTATATAATATGTACATACAATGTATTCAATATTACTTATTAAAAACTAATTCATTTACCACATTTTTGCATGAGTTTCATTATTAAATTCGTGTAATAGGTTATAGTTATTAAGGCAGGTGCAAACAACCCCAGTCTTTTTATACAGGGTGTTAAAAAAAGAGTGTAAAATATTTAAGGAGGTAATAGTGTGAACCAAAATAAGCAGAAAAGTCTCAATAAACATGGGTCCGCAAAGTAACGGTTGCGGAGATATGGAATGTTTTATGTTTTTTAGCCCCTTTTTTTATTTTGCAAAAACGTTGTGTATTTTCTTATAATAGTTGGTTGATGTTTAGTGAAATAAACAGTACGTATTTGACAGTTGTTCTCAGTGCACAAGTTTTCTTTCGCTATGGCTGGTTACTCTAACGCAGAATTAACAGACATGCATTTCATGTATGGTCGTGCTAATGGGAACGCCACCGAAGCGCGACGTCTTTATGTTGACGCTTATCCAAATCGCCAGATTCCTTCACAACGCATGTTTGGAAGAATTCACCAAAGATTGCGTGATACCGGTTCCTTGAGCAAACAGTGCCATTTATCCGGAAGACCAAGGTCGGTATCCACTCCTAGAGCAGAAGAAGAAATTCTAGCACTGGTAGAGCAGAATCCAGGTACGAGTGTGCGGAGAATATCAGCCGAGGTAGGAATTAGTGGTCCTCTTGTTTGGAGAATCCTTCACGAGCAACTGCTTTATCCATACCATGTGCAACGAGTACAGGCCTTAAATCCAATAAATGATCATCAAGCACGTTTGGTTTTTTGCCGCTGGTTTCTACGTCATGATGCTGAAGACCCTCGTTTTCTTGCAAACATTCTTTTTACTGATGAGGCCGGGTTCACAAGAAATGGAGTGTTTAATTTTCACAATACGCATATTTGGGCCGACGAAAATCCTCATGCTCTAATAGAATCTGGACATCAGGCACGTTTTTCATTAAACATTTGGATGGGTATTGTAGGTGACAGGTTTCTAGGTCCTGTTGTTTTACCAAACCGATTAACAGGCGCTGCTTACCTCAACTTTCTGCAGAACACACTGTATGAGTTTTTGGAAGACATTCCTTTGAATCAGAGGCAACAAATGTGGTTCCAGCATGATGGTGCTCCAGCTCATTTTTCCATGGCCGTTAGAGAGCATTTACACCAAACTTTTC